CCCTTATAGCCATATAATCTAACTTCCTGCCTTCACTAACCACAGAATTTTACCAAGCAGCTCCTGCATTAAGCCCCTGACTTCTGGCTGTGCTGGAACCTCCTCCTCAAGGAGCCATCCAGTCTTCTTTTAAAGACTTCATGCAATGGAGTATCCACCACAGCCCTGAGCAAATTGTTCCCATGATGGGAACAAGTTACTTATGCTGAGTAACACTTGCACCTTACTTCTAGTCTGAATTTCTTTATCTTCCATATCTAAGCAGTGCATCGTTATGCTTTTTTTCTGCACTACATGGAAGTGTCCTTTAATTATTTTTCAAGAAGATAATTTTAGACCATAATCAAATCACCCCTTAAACTTGCACTTTGATATTATCTAAATAAACTGATGATACTCAGGAGGCAGAAGGGGAAAAAAAGAGACAGAAACAAAAATATAGTAACTCAGGGGGAGGGGGTAGAATGGAAAGCACAAACCTTCTCTCCCAGTTCCCAGATGTGCTTTGGATTCAGCTGATGAGACAAGATAAACCAACACCCTCATTGAGGCCTGAATGGAAAAGAAAGGACCCAAAACACAACATTGCTTGTGTGAAGTGTAAGATGAAAAGTTCACCAGTGTGACAGTGCTCAGGCTTGTACAGTCCCAAGAAGCCACGGGTGTCCCTGTGTGCAGAGACAGTCCTGCCATGGGAGTTCTGGCCAGGCGCAAAGGAACCTCTGGGTAGAAACAAATGCAGGATCCCAAACCCCACAGATTATAAACTCCTGGAGGGCAGAGACCAGCATTTTCTTCTGGCTGTATTTTTCCCCCCAGTGGTTTTCATAGATTTCATAGACATTAGGGCTGGAAGGGACCTCAGAAGATCATCGAGTCCAGCCCCCCACACAAAGGACAGGAAGTCAGCTGGGGTCATGGGATCCCAGCAAGGTAAGCATCCAATTTGCTGTTGAAGGTGTTCGATGTAGGTGCTTGAACCACCTCTGATGGCAGGCTGTTCCAGACCTTGGGGGCTCGGACAGTAAAGAAATTCTTCCTTATGTCCAGCCTGAAACGGTCTTGTAATAGTTTATGACTGTTCGACCTTGTCATCCCTTGGGGCGCTCTGGTGAACAAACGTTTCCCCAGATACTGGTGGTCACCCCTGATAAAACTGTAGGTGGCCATCAGATCACCCCTGAGCTTGCGCTTTTCCAGGCTAAAGAGCCCCATGGCTCTCAGCCTGTTGCTATAAGGTCTGTTTTCCTGACCTCTGATCATGCCTGTGGCTCTTCTCT